CTCCTTCAAATGACAATATCCTCTTCTGTCCCCAAGGTCATCCAGCATCTTCTTACGTCTTCTTCCTCGTCTTCTGGTCACTTCTATTCGCCCCTCTATCTTTCCTTCAATAACTTCTTTTAGAAGGCAGTTACCGCGTAAGATATGACCAATCCAATCAGCCTTCTGCTTTCTTATTTCGTGTAGGACATTCCTCTGCTCACTGACTAAATAACACTTCTTCATTTCTCACATAATCGGTCCAACTGATCTTCTCCATCCTTCTCCAACACCACATTTCGAAACTTTCCAGATGTTTCTGATCTACTGGCCTAAGTGTCCATGTTTCAGCCCCATACAGAGCTATGCTCCAAATGTAGCATTTCACTAGTTTCTTCCTCAAATTTAAGTCCAATTTGCTGGTAAAAAGATTCTTCTTCATGACAAAATACTGTACATGCCATATTTAAGATCAATAACGACGTATGCACAACAGGATAAACTGGAAACGTTATTTGCTTCTACGAAGTGCATTGCTGTCTTGTCGCAAACTTGGCGATTTCCCAGAGCACTGCAGTATCTGTACTGTTGATTAGCTCTGTCAACAAGAGTCCTGCATCTGAAATAATAATTCCCAGGTTACCGGATTATTCTGATGATTTCCGTAATCCAGGCGAATTGTTGGATTGTAGGCCTATTTCCAAATCATCTATATCCGTCCACTTCCGGATTATTACCTACTTGCCATTCATGACCGTCTTCCCGCCTCGTTTCACGCTTATACGAACTTGTAACTTCTATCTTCATGGTCTTCATTAAAAAGTTGATATTCAACCGGTCAAATAATATCCTGCTTCGAAGGAAACAGTAATTTCTTTTTAAATGTGAGACGAATCAAAGTTAACACATGGGCCACTGTCGTGTTCACGAAAGTTCGCTACTCAACCCCATCCTGAGAAACCGGCACGTGAATCCAAACCACGCGCTCGCACCCCTTGTCTAAGTTCAATTTTAATATTAATCTCTAACCTACATAAGTCTATATCTTCAAAAAGACCGTTCGCTTCAAGCGTTCCGATTAAAATACTCCCCATGCGTGCTACACGTACTGGCACCTCGGTCCCCTCATTAAATCACCATAATTATGAGGCCCTTCAGTCGCCTCCGTATTTTTCTTCATCCTCC